TCCACAATTATTATTATTATTATTATTATATCTGTGCCTCTCTCTCACTCGCGTGCATTACGTGTCGGCTCTTCCTCCCTTTTTATCTATAGGTCTCCCACTCTGCATTACCATAACCTCTCTGCTCCTGTACGCTGTACCAGTGCGCTCTCCTCCCTCCCATTCACCCAGCTCTACTTCTCAACGCTCCCACAATGTTGCTGCTGCTTCTTTTGCACCCATACTCCTCCAACCCCAGCCCACAGCACCCCACCCCACCCCACCACACATCCATCCCTTCGTGTGCTGCTGTTCTCCTTTTTCTTCTACCTTTTAAATTTTTTGGGTTTTTTTCTTGTTGTTGTTGTACGTGTTTCACCTTGCGCGCCGTGTTTTATTGCTTTTGCTGCTGCTGCTGCTGCTGCGTTTTACTCGTTCGACTCGTTTCTGCTTTACTCTCGCACACACACACACACACTGGCGCATGAATGACCCTATCTATCTCGCTCTCGCCTGGCTGGGGAATTTTTGTGTGCACGTCACTATGCGCGTTGGTTCGACCGAACGTCAGTCTGTCGTGTCAGACACGATTTGCGTCGTACGGTCGTACGGTCGGTCGGTTGTTCAGTCGCTCGTTTTAGACACGTTGTATGTCGTTCGGTCGCTCTGTCATTCCTTCTGTCGCTTTGTTGTTGTTCGTTTCGTTTTATGACGTTGCCAGTTTTGTGTCTGCGTCCAACCATACATGTATGGCCAGTGTGCGTGTGTGTGTGTGTGTGTATGGTATTCAGTTGCCAACGGCGCTGCCTCTGCTGCCTTCTTGCACTTGCTGTTGCGTCACCCGCACACACTACACACACAAACACAAACACGAACACGAAGCAGAGACCAAACATGAAACGATGTCTGCCCGTTGCCTCCCCACTGCCTGGCCTGGCCTTTGTACATTCATTCATACATATGTATAATAAATGGTGTGTGTATATACATATGTAATGCATGTGTGTGTGGTAGTTCCCGCTTTTGTTGTTTTCTCTCTGCTTCTGGCTGAACCTTAGCAGCGAGTCCCGTCCCAAACCCCCCCCAAACCCCACCAGCCATGCCATGCCAATGCTTGTCCTCTGTCTCACTCTCTCGATGGCACTCCATTACTGCTTTTGCCGTCTTTCTCGCTCGATCTCCCACTGGTGCGCAGCCATCTCCCTCTCTCATTCAGGCTTCGTGGGCATTGCTTTTGTCTTCTGCTTCTTCTTGTTTTGTTGCTGCTTCGAGAGTTGGTTGTTGTTTTGGATACCCTTCCGGTGCGATAGCGAAAGGGTATGACTATTTTGTGGTGGAGTTTGCCAAGGCAGGCAGTTGTAAGATTCTATATTCCATTCTATTTGATGCAGCAAATAATCAGATCACAAAACTTGGAACAAAAACATCACGAAACATCGGAACAATGGTTTCAAGGGTATCAAAGCATCGTGGTGACGTAGCTCTAGTTTTCTTTCCCGTTTTTTTTATGGCATTATTATTATAATGCTGTGGACGCCGGCAGCGCTGCCCCTGTGCTTTGCTTGTTTCTTGTTTCGTGTTTCTTTTTTAGTTTTTTTTGTAAGCCTCTTTTGGTCGTCTGCTGTCGCTGCTGCCTTTTATTGTTGTGTTCGTGTGTGTGTGTGTGTTGTTATTTTTATTAATTTGTTTTGCGCTGCCTTTTGCTCTATGTGAAGTTCGGCAACATCGCCTCTGCTTATTTTTGCTGCTGCTTTAATCTTACGCGTGCTTAAGTTTTTTCCCCTCCCCCTCCGCTTCTCCTTTTTCTTTGCTTTTGCTTGCCAGCTTTATTGCTCACGCTCTCCCTCTCTCTCTCTCTCGTCTTTGTATTGAAAATGGGCAACGTTGCTCTGTGCTGTCTGCTGCTGCTGCCCGCAGCCGCCGCCGCTGCTTCTGTGTATTTTTATTGCCTCCTCTCTCTGCCAACGTCGCTGCCATGCTTGGCTGACTTTTTTCCACTCCATCTCGTTCTTCCCTCCCTCGCCTTCTCTCTCGCTCTTCCACACACCACGTTTCGGTAACGTTTCCTCTGCTGCTATCTCTTCTTCTTTGCTTTTGCTGATTCTTCTACTTTTAGCTTTTATTTTTTTGCTTTTTGCTTGTTTGTGGAATTTCGTGCTTAATTTTCGGTTCGGCTCGTTCTCTCTCTTTCTTTTGTGGGTCTCTATCTCTCTCTCTCGCTCTCTCTCTCTCTCTCTATATGTATTTGTATGTGTGTTTCATGTGTGTGTTTTCGCTTAAATTTAATTCAATTTCTGTTTAATTTTCATAGTGAGAATTTAATTTACTATTTGCTGTTGCCTTTTGTGTTGCTACTTTTGTTGCGTGTTTTTCTCCTCTCTCTCTCTCTCTCTCTCTCTGTCCTCTTCTCTCTTTGTTTTATTTATTTGCGGCTCTGCAGTTTAATTGCTTTCATTAAAAACAAAATACAGTTGCAAAAATGTTGCAGCACTGAAAAACATGTGGTCTATGGCCCATGCGCTGTTGCCGCTTTTCGTGCTCTGCTGCTTCGGCTCCATTTGTGAGTGGTGTGCGGCGTGGTGTCGCGCCGTTGCCAATCTTCATTGCCCGGTACGTTGCCGCTGCCCGTCCATTGAATGCGCGATGCGCAGTTGCCGCTTTTCACTTGCCTATTGAATTGCATGTGTGTGTTTGTGTGTGTGTGTTTGTATTAGTGCCTTAGAAATGCCATCTTCATCGAAATTGATAGATGGATGGATGAGTGGGTGAAAATTATTGATGGCCAAGAGAAGAGAATGCGTCTCTTTCTCTTCTCTGAGGGGTGGGGAGGAGAGCCAATACAGTGGTCGTTCGGTAGCTCGAAAAGAAATGCCAGAAATAGGCAAGATAGCAACCGTTCAAAGCCTGCAAAGAATCTCTAAGAATAAACATCGAAAATCCCTTCTACAGTGAAATATCCGCAGACAGAGCCACTCGAATGTTCTGGTGCCTTAACTTGTATTGAAAATGGAACCGAATTTCACTGTATTCAAAACGAAAGACGACCTTTCAGGGTTAAGGGCTAACATTGTTTATGGGGTGTGGTTAATCCTTATATAATGGTAACATATAGTGCTGATTCGTTCTTAGAGCGGGTAGCAGTAGTTCCAGAGATCACCTTCGGGTCTTATACCCCTTCCACGGGGGGTACAGGTGCATATTTAAATTCTAACCAATTTTGTTACGTACATATGATGGAATGGTTCGAGTGCCGCGACCGCAGTATCTAACCTTCCTGGGACCCTCAAAAAGCCTTCAGAAGCCTTCCTGCACCCCCTTCGAGAGTCCTCCAAACCCCACCACCCTCCTCGGACCCCCCAAAAAACCCAATCAATGACTACAAGATAATGCCCCGACTGCACTTGAGACCAGTCTACAGCAGTCTGGGGGCGACGACATTATCTATTCGATTATTTATGGCCCTTATCGATTTTCTAATCAACATTCTATCGATTGAATGTGTGTTTATTTTTGCATCGAACTAATCTCTCTCTCTATCTCTTTCTATCTGCAGGTCTCTAAAGCGTGGGACAAAGAGGTGGAGCAGGCGGAGGAGGAGGAGGAGCCGTTAACTTGTTTTGTTTTAGTGTTTTGTGTGTGTGTGTGCGCGCGCTGTGTTTGGTTTGGTTTTTTTTTGTTTTGTTTCTTTTTTTGCTCTGTCGATAAGTGTGCGATAACGATTAAAAGAGAAAAGGACAGCAGACAGCAGCGACAGCGACGGCGACGGCAAATACGTAAATGCGTAATGAAAAAGTGTGCAAAAGTTGTTAATTAATGGAAAAATACACATACATACGTGCATGTGTACAAATATAGGGTTTTTAAATCGCAAATACGCAATTTCGTGGCCCGTTCGTGTGGAGGAGATCGTGTGGCGGTATTTCGCGTCGTGTGGAGGATTTATTTACCGTTTTGTGACACGATCGAACACGCATAGTACACACCAACACACACACACACACACACGCACACAAGCGAGAGCATGCATGCATGTCACTCTGCATCACTTTTTTTAAAGCTTGATTATTTGTTAATTTTCCCCCGAATCGAAAAAAGTGTTAAAAATTGGGCCAATAACTGAAATTTCGGACTGTTTGTTTTTCTTTTTTCAAGTGAGAAAACAAAAACGTGTATAAAAGAGCGAAAGAGAGAGAGATAGATAGAGAGAGAGAGAGAGAGATAGGGAAGGAGTAAGAGCGACGTTGCCGCTTTTCACTAATCCCCGTTTTTCATTCCCGTTCCATTGCAGCAGTGTGTGTGTGTAAATAGATAAAAAGCTAAAGCTGAAAAAAGTTCTATAAGAAAGATCTATAAAAATTAAACGGAAATATATTACAAGAATATCCATAAAATAACGAGGAAATCCCTTATTCAAACAAAAGTGTTGGAAAAAGCATAAAACAACAACAAATTGCAACAACAACGGGCGCAAGATGCCTGTGCAATAGCCATGTGCCTAGGCAGATGTTGTTGCCTGTTGCAACAACAAAACAAAAAACAACGACAGCACCAACAACAACAACAACAACAACAAAAGCAACAAAAGAAGCAGCAGCATCAGCAAGACCCGCGATAACACAAACTTCAACAACCACTCCAGTGTTGAAAAACGACAGAGAAAAGAGAAGCAAATCAACACACGCAAAAACCTAACCTCGAAAGTGAAGTTTTTCCAAAAATATATATATTTTTTTGAGAGTGCATTTCTCTGTCTCTGTGTGTGTGAGTGCGTGTGTGCGAGTGGGTTTTGTGTGTGTGTTTGTGTGTGCGGTGCGTCTGTTGGGAGTGTTAGAATGTGGCAATGCAATGCTGTTGAGCAGCTCACAAATAATTACAACACGAAAATCAACAGCAGCAACATCATCAACAACATCAACAACAGCAAGAATACGTTCAACAACACCAAGAAAAGGTTCAACAACACGAAGAAATCGTTCAGCAACTTCAAAAACACCAAGAGTACGTTCAACAACAGCAAGAAGAGCTTGAAAAACACCAATCCCATTTAAGCAGCACAACAACAAGAGTGTTTGAAGCCAAAAAAAAGAGTTCGGCATGAAATGGAAGCAGCTATACGCTCCTCTTCAGTGCAGGTCGGTGCTCCGCCGCCCACAAATAACACCACAAACGGTGCACAGCAGCAGCAGCAGCATCAACAGCAGCAGCAGCAGCAGCAACAACACCAACAGCAACAACAACAACAACACCAGCAACACCAACAACACCAACATCAGCTTCAACAACAGCATCAACAACACCAACAGCAACAGCAGCAGCAACACCAACAACACCAACAGCAGCAGCAACAGCAACACCACCAGCACCAGCAACAGCTTCATCATCATCATCAGCAGCAGCAACAGCAGCAGCAACAACGTGTTGCAAGCAGTAGCCTGCAACACCAGCAACAGCAACATGATAATGGACCAACGTCCCATCATTTGCATCAATCATCAGCCTCCAATCAGCAGCAGCAGCAGCAGCAACAGCAACAAAGTAAAGCAGTGCAACAGCAGCAGCAGCAGCAACACCAACAACACCAAAAGCAGCAACACCAACAGCAACAACAGCAGGCTGCCAATATGTCCGCGTATCAGCAGCGTCTGCCAGCCGGTGCATCACCGATACACAGGTGAGAAGAGAAACTATCATGCAACAATCATGCTGCCCCATTCACCCATGCCCCCCTGCCCCTCCCCATGCATATTCATTCCGTATTTCCGCAGCCAAAGCTCATTTCCTGTTTGCATTGTCGCTGGCTGGCTGGTGGGCCCAGGCCTCGGCCTCTCTCTGGGAGCAGCTTTTGCGATAAGTTGACATTCAGGTGATAAGCCACCCCTAACATTCTCTGTTGCCTGCCTCGAAAATCAGCTGTAGATAAAATAAATTGAAGAAAAAAGAAGAAATGATCTCGAAAGATCTCTAAAAAAGGGATATATATAAGGGAAATATATCAAAAAAATAAAAAGGGGAAAACAAGATAATGAAATGTATCTGGGATATCTTTATGGACTTTATAACCAAAGGAAAAGTAAGAAAGGCACATCCTTTGCCTATGATCTATGAAGAATCTATCGATGAAGATCTGTCGATCTGCAGAGAGTGTTTGTTGTTTCTTTTCAATGATTTTCATGTGATTTGTATTCAACACCAGCCCAGCAGATGGCGCTGTTGTCCAGTGGAGCAGTGGGTGAGTCATTCCATTCCCTGGAAAGAGTGAGAAGAGACCTATAGATAGAGAGATAGATGGATGGATGGCAAAAGATTTGCCATGCGGAAAACGAAGCACAAGCAAAAACAACAACAACAACAAAATGATGGAGGAAGAAGATAAAGAGGAAAGATAATGATGATGAGGCTCATGTTTTTTGGTGTTGTTTGTTTTGCGGTTAGAGTCGAACGGAAAGACGGAAAGAGAGAGTGAGAGAGAGAGAGAGAGAGGGGTGCCATAACACTTGAGAAGACAATCAAAAGACAGAGAGAGAGATGGAGAACATAAAGAGAGACGTACATATGGACGTTCTCTCAAGTGAAAAACACTCGTAATTACACCGTAATTTGACACTATTGACCTGCCACAACGATAACCGTAAGGAATAGGCTGCTGCTGGTGCTGCTGCAACCCCCTTCACAGCGCACGAGAACCATCTTTCGAGCCAGTGCCTCTCCCTCTCTCTAGAGTCTCTCTCCCGTCTTGAATGACAGCAATTAGAGACAGCAAAATGTCCGAGGGGCAACAACAACAGCAACAGCAGATGACCGCAAAACAAGTATCAACAGAAGGAGTGGGACAGAGAGTAAGAAGAAGGGAGAGCGAGGATATGAGTGGTATCCATTACCCATTACACGGCCAAAGGGTATATCCCATTTATTCCTCTATCTGATCAAATATGTTTGTACGTCTCCAAGATCTATCCAAGATCCAATCCAGTACTGTGTGTGTGGAGGAGGTCCTTCATAATATTTCAGTGGAATTCAGAAAAATGGGAACTATTCCTTGTTCAGAGATAGTTTTCAAGCGATATATCGCTCTATAGCTGGACTATAAATATAGTCTAGAAACCTGCTAGATGAAGGTATTTTTTGTATCGTTCTCCAAGTACAGTTTTTTTTTTCTGTTGCAACAATCTCCCTCTCAATCGGAGGTGGATATCCTCATCCTCGTCCCGTCGTTGCTGTTACTCTCCGCCCATCGGTTTCCCCATTCACTTCCTTCCTGTGATTGCTTCATTTTCTGATTTTCTGTTGTCTGTTGTGTGTTTCTTTTCCCTCTCCCCTTCCCCTTCGTATTCGATGACTGGAAAAACAGAGAGAGCTTATCGGAAATGGAGGAAGAGATTTTTTTAGGAAATACCAAGCGAATAAATTCCCCGCAGCTCCTCGATTAATCGATTCATTATCAGATATCTCAATTGATATGGTATTTATCTCTTTCCACTTGTATCCATCCCGTATCCAGATATACAGGGTGCTTCTTTTTCCATACATAAATGCCGCTCCATTGTCCCCATTTCAATTAAGAATTGATTCGAATCGTTCGAATCATTTGCGAAGAGCACAGAATGTTGGAGAGGGAATTCCTTAGACTAATTGAACTTTGATTGCACTCTCTGTGGCTCTCTGTGGCGCTATTCCATTTGGTTTGGTTTGGTTTTGGTATTTTTCATGCCATTGATCGACAGAAATGCGAGTTCCCAGCCCCATATCGTACAGATGTGCATATATTGAGAGCAATTAAAGGTTATTGTTGTAGAAAATGTGAGGAGGCGTCCATCCCATTCCATCTGTTGTTGGGGGCATTGAAAAATGTTTAAAAATAATAAAAAAAATATATATAAATTATTTGTTATTGTTGTTCTTTACGGTTCGTTCCGGTTTGATGAGGGGTTTTCTGGTTTCGGTTTTATTGCAATAAATAGGAACAAAATGGGGGAAGGGAAAGGGAAACTTCAGGAATTCTTGGTGAATATTACAGAAAATATTTTGTTGTAATATTCCGTGACCTATGCCTGCCTGCCCAGAGCTATCGGTGTCGGTCGAATCTGTAATCGGTATCCCCTCAGCCTTACTCTTTTTATTCCCACTCTCTCCATTCTCCACTCTCCAGTCCATACACACTCACTCACTCACTCACTCATATACTCGGTGACTGCAGAGATGCATCCACATTTTTAATCGCTTTCGAACGGTCAAGGTTGCAAAATATTTAATGAGTCGAATGCGACAGCGAGACAGCGTGACAGCGAGAGCGACAGCGACGCTCGCTATCAGCTGTGGCTGCTAGTGCAGAGCGGAGAGGAGAAAGAGCAAAGCATAGAGCGGGGGGGCGGAGCAGAGAAGAGAGTGCAGTGCAGTGCCGAGGAGATGGAAGCAAATCAGTGCTGTCAGCGTCGACAGCGGCGCTGCTGCTGGCGCTGCTTCTGCTGGCGCTGCCTCTGCTGCCTCTGCTGCCTCCGTCATTTATTGTTTATCGACCCCCGGCATTTTCTATATGAACAGTTATTTTATGCCAGCCTGCCAGGGGACTCTCGCGCTCTGGTGACTCTGTCCATGTGTGTGTGTGTGTCACTGTCACATTGATATGCGGGGTATATCCCTCTCCCTCCCACCTCCCACCACCCACTACCACTGTAACTGTAACTGTAACTGTAATTGCACGCCTATCTGGGGTTTTTGTTTCGCCACTGCTCACGCGACAAATGAAAATTAAAACACAGAGCCCCTCCCTCTACTTTGTTTGAACCCCTCAAAAGAGAGGCATCTATAGGAAGCTTTCTAGAGATACATACAAGGGGGGATCGTCGGCAAACTTCCCATAAGCGAACGGACACAGCGGTGATGTGATGGCGAACAGCCCTCTGATTTGAGGAATAAGCTATATATCCTTTTCATAAGCCATATCGGATATACTCTGAATTCTGATGCACTTGGAGGCCCTACTCTTAAATGTCCTGGGTCCCTTTTATAAAATATATGTTTCGATTCTCTTGAGGGGGAAATTAAGGGGGTGGGTTTCCACAGTTGCCCTTGAACCGAGGCAAAGGTCTTTCCGTACTCGTATTTAATGTTGAAATAATTAGAGCCAGACCCAGAGGTTACCAGAATGACAGCGGGACAGGACTTCAGGACTTCAAGTTTTCCCCAAACTTTGACAAAAAAAAAAAAACTCTAAGCAATTATTTGTTTCCTTGAATATCGAAATATGAATAAACTAAACACATGGGAAATTCGACCCTCAAACGGAACAGAACAGAACCGAATACCTCCCCCCCTTTCTACCCCCCCTTTGGCGCTCTCGAATTCGTTCCAAGATAAGTTTTTCCCAATTTTTGGTGTTGCTGCGAAAACTATTTTGTAGTTTTGTAGTTTTGGGGAAACTTTTGCCGAAAGTTCTTGAATTTCTATTTTGAATATTTGAAGGGAACTTTTTATTTTATTTTACTTTTCTTTAATTTTTTTTTGGCCTGAAAACTTTTTGGGAATTGAGAGGAAAATTGATGGAGGAGGGGGCGTAATAAAAATGAAACTTCATTTGAAGATTGTACGAGAGTTTTTAGGGAAGGCTTTGGCTTCGGTTTTCTCGTGGTAGTGGGAGGCGTGGTTGGGGGAGGGGTGGGGTGTCCAATACTCCTCTATTCTTTTCCCTCTTTTTTTTTCTGTGTGTCGCTCTTTCTTCGAACAGGTCGTTCTTCTATGGTCCGAAGACCAACAAACCCGAACCGAATCCAAACCGATCTCGTGATTCGGAGGGAGGGGGATTGGTGCTGCCTCTGCCGCCCCGCGACCTATCCCAACGGTAAAGCGCATTGGGCAAGTGCAGCTATCGACCGCCGCCGCCGCCACTAGGGGGCGCCTGCCGTGGGGAAACAGAAAGCAGAAAAAAAACGCCAATAAAATGCACATACGTAATGAAATATAATTAAAGAAAACGAAAATAACAGAAAAGCGAACCAAACGTGGATGAGCGGCGGGGGTGCGGGCGGGGGAGAGCGAAGAAAAAAAGAGAAAAGCCGCCGTTGCCAGGTCTAATTAACAAACGACGTTGACGCCGGCAGCGGCAGCGGCAGCAGCAGCAGCGTCAACGCCAGCCTCTGCATCGACGTCGCGACGTCCGACGTAGACAATGTCTATTTTTGCAACAATACAATACAAAAAGTGCAGCGGCCCCAAAGGAGAATGCAAAAAGCAATAACAAAAGAGACAGGCAGAGAGATCGAGAGAGGCAGAGGCATGGGCAGTGGGAGAGGGAGAGTGTAAGAGCGGGGCGACGCTCTCGCGAGCCGAGCCGAGCCGGGCCGAGCCGCCTCATTATGAAATCACCTTCAACTGTAGTTTTCTTTTGCACTGCGACGACCCGACAGCTCTATTGCTCTCTTGAGCACTGGCTAAACGAGAGAGAGAGGGAGAGGGAGATCCTCTGAGTGAATGATGAATCGATGGCCCCTGCCCCGTTTAGACAGTGCTTAAGGCCTTTAGAAATCTCAAGCGAGACTTTCACAGGCCGGCCACTAAGAAGGACTACGTGGAACAGTCACGCCCGTCCCTCGAGCCCAAACGGAATACGCATGCAAAGCATGTGGCCGGGGCATGCCGCATTTGTTCATATTCTCACAGCGATTAACGTCCGAGCAT